ATGAGCAGGGTTTTTTTTAAATATATTCTTATTTTTATTTTGGATCATAATCACAGTCATTTTGGGTAGCTAAAAAACCTACTTTACTGTAATGCTTCTCTATACAGGGTGACTGGTGAATTACTATCGATATTTGAGGACGTGATATTTGACGATCATATATGACAAAATAAAAATTAATATAACATAAATATTAATAAACTTCTAAGTAAAGTTAACCAAAAGTTATGTAATTAATTACGCATCGTGTGAACACCCTACAGATTAAGTATACACTCACACACACACACGCACAGCGGCGGCGTAGTGTTGTATCAGCACGCCGCCGCACGCGTCCACACTTGGAACACTTGGAACGTGTCAACACTTTATTTATTTATACGGAAATTTTGTCAAAAATTAAGTGCCTATTTTTTTTTACATAATTCGAATGAGAATCATGTACCGAGTATTCTCCTTAAATATTGATAGTAATTCACCAGTCACCCTGTATACAATATACATACAATATTAGACGTATGGCCATCGGGGGTGAAAGCATACAGGCTGCTGGGATTGCTTACACGGGACAGAGCCACATACAATTGACACACCCGGTCGAATATTGAACGCAGTTCTTTAGTTCTTTAATTTGACATAACTTTTTTATTTATGAACCGATTGACATGAAACAAACACTAAAGCATAACTGAAGCATACCACAATATATTCGTGAAAACCGCATCCAACTCGGATCAGCCGTTTCTGAGATTAGAGTGAACAGACAAACAGCCAAAAAAAAAGTTAATTACATTTTTGGGTTCGACATCGACATAACGATAACCCCTGCTATTTTTTTAATTTTTATTTTCAATGTACAGACAGCACTTTTCTACAATTTTATTATATGTATAGATTAACATGTCAGAACTTGCATAACGCCACGTCACTTATAACACTTATACGTACATTATGTACAATTTCTTAATAAACGTTGATTTTCGCTCATATGTATTTGTTGTTTTAAATAAACACCTAACATTACATATGTATGGTACAGACTACATATGTACATATGCAAAAAGCCCGTTTTTCTTCATAAATTGGATTATCCGGACTTTCAATTATCCGGATGCCTACCGACAACAATTAGTCCGGATAATCGAGGTCCTACTGTATATCTATTATCTGATTATAAAAACTTTAAGTATGATAAACCATAACAAAGTTCGTAATTTTAATCATAGATGTTTTTAAATCCAACTACTTAGAATAATATTAAAAAAATATGTATATGGAGTAATCACGCAAAACCTACTCAGCTGATTAAAATAAAGTAATGTGTGCCATTAGCTATGGAAATGAAGTATGTAATATAATAACGCAAGTCTAATTATTTTTAATAATCTCGACATCGCATATAAAGTTCATATTTATTTTATTGTTGTTCTAATCATTGTACTATTAAATATTCTAAAAGCATACAATTTTAAAATTAAATTATAATAAGAATTATATAAATCTATAAACAAAGGTAACCATTTAATGCTCATAAATTTTTTTTCACAAAAATTTATTAAAAAATCATTGGCCTTCGTTACTACAGTTAAATTTGAGTTATACGGAGGTTATTATTGTAACTTAAGAATCATTTTTTTTTCTTATTATTATCAATGTAGCATAATTCAATTTAAAGGAGGGTGTTTTAAGTTTTAACAACCTATTTTTTATAGGTTTCAACAAAATGCCTTTTTTATGATATTTTTTTTTTCCTTTTACAATTTTTTGAAGTAAAAAAAAAAAGCCAAAAAACTAAACAAATAACTTTTTATAAAATACGTTAGAATTTTTATTATATTTAAGAGATGTAGTTTTTTTATTTCATATTTTAATAGTTAATAAATAAAACAATGACAGCAACTTAGAGTTAATATCGATCGTAAGTCACAAATTAAGACCCCATCTAAAATTCATAGCACAGCGTATTCCGTATGCTTGAATGATCACCTTTCACCTCAGTAAGTGACAACCATAGATTTATTTGCCGCTTAACGTATTATATGAAACGGTTTCATTATGTATACACATTTTAGTAGAACAATTAATTTAAGTGTATAAGCGTGTTTCACTTATCTTAAAATACGCAAGAAATGTCTGATTGGTTGAAATATTTTAATTTCTATTATTATAACCTAACACTGAATGCAATATAAGATAAGCCGTTACATACTTTTTTTTTCGTTTATATAACTGAACATAACAAAAGAAAAAAACAATACAATTATATCAATCGGTATACAAATAGTTGTGTGATTAAAACAAAAAAATACTTGTTTTTAATCATTACAAACCAGATGTATTTGGCACTTACAACAAAACTACAATTGGGTTTTTGAATTAATTTTTTTTTTGTGATAAATGGAAAGATCATATATAAGTTTTATAACAAAACTATTTTTATTTTATTTTTATTTGCAATATTTAAAAAGTTATTTCAAAATAAAAATTAAATTTTAAATTCAGTACCGAAGACAAGCCGACAGCTCGCCAATAAACCCGAGCGCGTGTGACGTCACAATGTTAGTTTTTGCTCATTGTAGCATACAGAGATATAATAATTAGTACAGTGTTTTGAGTTTTTACCTAGTAAATTCTGTTGGCATTGTTAAATAATCAAAAATGTCAAAACTCAAAAGTTATCGCTCTTGTTTTGTACCATTATGTACAAATACTACAAAAACAACTCCTGAAAAAATGTTTTAAATGTTCCACAAGACGAAAAACGTCGAAAGAATTGTTTTAAGCAGTGCACCGAGATTATTCAAAAACAAAATCAATTTTTTTTTGTTGTGAAGATCATTTCGTTGTAAGTATTCATAATAATATTGTTATTAATTATTATTTATCTAAGTATATAAATCGAATAAGTATAGTTAATTATTTTTTTTTTTTACCTGGGCTCCAAATCATAACCTTTAGAATCGTAGCATTAAAAAATTTTTAATTGATAATTCAAAGCGATTAAATAGTAAATCTATATGTATGTTTATCTAATAATTGGAATTCAATTAATAGATATTTTCATAATTTTATAATATTCTAGGTTCTGTATCAGACTACATTTAAATTTTTAAAGTATATGTTATTTTGGTTTTTTATAATGTTGTAATAACATTTTATTAATAATGATTTAATGAAATAATTATTAATTATATTTAATAGAGAATAAATACTTATTTTCATTTAGAATAGTATTTTTTAACAGACTTACCTTGATGTCTTAGCACCTCGAACTTCAGCAAAATTAAACCGCACTTTTTAAAAAATTAGTTATCATAAAAATATATCAACATCGGGAATATTATCCGATTTTGCTTTTATAAATCCTTTATCACACATAGTTAGTGGAAATAAACTTTTCAAATCGTTTTTCACTAATAAATTTGAGATATTTTTATCAAGTCAAAGATAATAGCCATAAACACTGTACTATTATGAAATTGCTTTAACATTATGACGTCACAAGTATGCCAACCAATCGTGGCGCGTTTACAGTCACGTGATTTGTTTTTGAATTTTATCAATTTTTAATTGTTTATAATTAATTTAAAAAAATTGTTTTCAAGATTTTTGCATTAAAAATCAATATAATTAATAATAAAGTTTTAAAATACATAAAAAAAATCAATACTTTTTTTTTTTTCAAAAACCCAATTGTGAGATCTTATAAAGGACTACCATGTATCGTCTTGACATAATATTACTTTTCCTATTTTTAAAATAAATTAGACTGATTAAATCGAAATCAAGTTATAGAATGAAAAGTAATACTGGGACGTCAATTGGTTATCAAATCCGTAATTGCTAATAGTAGAAGAATAATGAAATGGTAATTTATTGATTAAAGCTCATATTCATAAAATCTATATTCTATTCATCATCTACTAATGATATAGGTAAAATGATATAGGTACATATACACAAAAATGAATATATTAAACATTAAAATACAAAAAACAAAGAATAATAACAAAACAAAGAATTAATAAATTTGAATATGTGTAAGAAGATTTATAAGCTATGATAAGTAATTTAATGACTTAAAACTTTGAAGAGTGAAAAATAACAGGCTACATCCAAATAGCACAGAGCATGACATCATTACACAACTGAATAGAATCACCGTATTCTGAACAAATGCACTCAAAATCTCTCAAACGGACGGCGAGGACGCCGTGAATGCACCTGGCAACTCAAACCAATGCACAAACCGTTGCGGTGGTTTATTCCGCATTATTTCTTGGCCGCGGTTAATATTCCGACATCGCGCGAACAACCCCTCGGGGAATACAAATTCTAACATTTCCAGACGAATACGCTTGGCATCCGTCTCAAAAGTTACAAATATATATTTTGAGGAGAAATTGTAGTAACATATCTTTAATATTATTTGCGACGTTTGATTCACATGAATTCTCTCTGGGTGTACAATTTTTTTGGAAACATTTTTATTTAAATAAAATACATGTTTAATTTATTATCTATATATTAGAAATAATAACTTAAATTACTTCTTTATAATGTTAGTTTTGTTGACATAATTACATTTTAATAGTTAAATTATTGTCTACGCTAAGTAAATGATTGAATAGGTAGCATTAATTATTAAGTCGTGGCCTCCTCATTCGTTGTCCCTGAATTTTTATTACGTTGTTAAAAAATATTTATAGGCGAAGTTGGCAATAGGAATTAATAAGTCAGGGTAAGGAAGTTTTTACACGACTTTGTCTATGAACATTGTATAATATTTTACACATTTTTGATTTAATAATTAAATATTCCAAACTGTACCCAAACTGAGGAACTACATATAGGAAATGTTAGTATTACTTATGAATATTTAAATAAATAATAAGAATTTAATATAAACATTATGAACAATGTCATAAGTAGGTTAGCACTGAAACAATTGAATCCTAATTCCAAGCATTGACCTGTCAAGTCCGTGTGAACACGCCCTATCACGGGGCGACGTCCCCTAAGGCGTAGGGTTTCTCTGCCCTGGTCCTGAGGTAGTAAATTCCGTCCTTCCTAAAACGAAACAATAGACTTTGATCTCACGACTCGACCATTGTTCCCGCCTCGCTGAGAAGGTTCTTTGTTAATAACGATGGATTTTAGTAGCACTTCAAATAATTTCGGATATTAAATATTACTTTGTCATTCGTTTAAAACGAATCAAATAAGAATTTGTAACAATTCGTTACAGCTTAAACAATGATTATAAAAAAGTGACGTTAATATTTGAAAACAAATGTTTGTGATTAATCCCACTATGCGAAGAAAAGTCTAGAAATTTCCGCGAAATGTAGGAAGCTATTTGTCTTTCATTAAAATTTTAATACCTTACAAAGTTAATATTTAGCAAAGAGTTACTGAAATTATCACATAAAAAGTCACATGGAATATTTTTAAGACTAATAATATAGAAAACAATTATATGGAAAAATACCCATAGTGGATATCGAAGCCGCCCATGATGAGTTTTTCACCGGTGCCTTTACAGGAACCATTGTAGTAGAGCTCATCGTAATCAGTGCAGCGGACAGCAGTGAAGGGAACATCTGATATTATGGACTCAGCGAAGAACATGTGAGCTCTGTTGTGTGCACACAAACCTGTAATTAGGTACACACACTTATTAAAATTTTTCGTCTACATATCTGTCCATTTTGTTACTTACTACTTGACACTTTACACCACATCTATAACTATTGTAATTATAACGAAATATTTTAACTAATTTGATAGTCGTCAAAGCGAGCCTGATTTTTAAAACATTAAAACCTTTAAATTCTCTGCCAATAAGCATTAATAATGAATTTCGTTAAGTAAGAACCATACAGGCTTTTCTGTTAAAAAAATTGTTAATCTCATAGTATAAGCCCTTTTTGCAAATTTCATTAATTAACTCTCGTAAGCTATCTCAACGTTATGTTTCTCATTTTGTAATACATCAAAGAGTTACATTCTGTTTATAAGAGATAAATCTGTGCTTGTACAAATAGAAATGCTAGCGCAAATAGAAATATTTTCAAATGTACCATTTTCCTTGCACTGATTATTTAAAGTGTTGTCGTCGCGTCTATTGCATGTCTTCTAAAAGTCTAAAAGTATTTATAACGACTTTGGCGTACAAAAATGTTTCGAATTTTGCTTAAATTATATAAATTTTATTCATTTTTAATTCTAAGCATATTTTTAAGATTGTATTTTATATTACATATAAAGTTTTTTCTTTAATAATGACGGAATAATGATTTTTAAATAACTTTTATGTCATTTAATAAACTCTGAGTGACATTAGATAAAATGCTTAAAGCACAATTATTTATATGTATAATAAAGATGTAATGCCAAATATTTAAATATCCCCGTCCATATATAACAAAACCATATTTATAATATGTGTAACGTAATCCAACCCAAACGGCTATTGTTTTTTTAATAAAAATAAATATATATAAGTACTATTTTTATCTAAGACCACACTGCTTATCCCCTGAGAGTCATAGAATAAAAAAGTAACTTGTAAATTATTTTAGAACAATATCAACCTTCATATGTGTATATTGTTTTTCCTTTTTTTTGTATGATACAAAGAAATACAGATTCTACGCTTACACACATATTTATCTTACTATTTTGACAAAATCTTTTCGAAAATTTAATAAATATACTAAAATACTTCATCATTTTCGGGTCGTTTCCATAAATATTACTAATCTGTCTATATGTTAAGCTTTTAGAGAACATAGCATATTACGTTATATTATAGCCCCGGAGAATAAAAACTAAAAGACCCTTATATTTGAAACTTTTATAACAAACCACAGATTTTCGCTTAATAACTTACCGCTTTCAAAACTCCTCTCATCTTTTCGAAATCGTTCATTCTAAATAAGAGAAACTTCTATAGGAAAACTATTAATATTGAAATAATATTACTATGCACAGAAATAAAACAAACTTTATCTTAACCAATACATAGAATATTTGAAGTGATTTCTAAATAGATTATTATTAGGAAACCATTAATTTTAAATATATTTCTTATATATAAAATATCAAAATTGTTATAACATTGCTTCTATTTTTTCACTAAAACAATTTAATTCAAGATTTCTATAACAGTAAATCTATAAAACTACGTAATCTATCATTCGATGTATAAATTATTAAACAGGTATTTTTGTTACCTCTATAATCAATACCACAGCCCGGTTGTCGGGTGCCACCGTTAGGGTAAAAGTCAATGTGACCGAGGGGGGAAGCAAATCCGAGGTAGCCTCCGCATGTGTGAATGACTTCAACATGTCTTGCGTCGTGTTTGTCCAAGCGAGCATCCTTATTACCCAGAGTAAATAAAGGTAATGCTGGATCAAGACCTGGTATAAATAATTAACTGTATATAGATTCTCTTAATTAGTGTTATTAAGATAATATTATATGCAATCATACTCGTCTCAAACATAAAGTACGATTTTCTATCATTAAAACTATTAGTGCTGGTTGATTCATTATAAAAACGTGTCTCATTTTAGATTATAATCCTTTAGCTATCCCGTTTAAGCGTCAAATATCATTTATTATTAACGTTTATTTCCACTATTCCAAAAGGCACCACAGTCTACAAATTCTCTATATATAAACCCCTACTAAAATATTTGTTGCGCTCTGATACCCCGCTATATTTGCACGTAGCTCTTTCAATATTCATCTCCAAAGCTCCTAAGTTGAACAAAGGGGGAGAACCGCTAAGTAATGACGAAGATACTATGGGCTTCTTTCTATGACGATTCAGCTACACTTTTTAATATTTTTTTCATTCACACTGTGTACGTTGGATTTATATAGAAGATAAAAATAGAAAAAACTTTTTATGAGAACTTGGACGATATTAATATACAATATTTTCATCTTTGAAATAGTTATTTTTAAAATTGAATACTTGTAAATCAACATTTTCTTTATAATTTATCTAAAAACACTTTTTTCTAGAAGAACTCGATTCGAACGCATTACAATGAGTTTTTCTAGAAGCGTAAAATTAATGACTATGCTTACCGGTAATTGTATCAATAGGACCTCCTCGCACATAAGCCCCCGCAATACCTACAACGTGTGCACCCAGACTATGCCCGATGAGATGTAAATCATCAGCTGAAACCCCTTCTTTAATCAAAAAGTTGATGAAGTCCGTAAGAAGACGACCGACCATCGCCACATTGTAACTTGCTAAAATATAATTTACGTTTGCCGCCGTTCCCCAATCCACAACTATAATATTAATGTCGCTTACGTTAAGATATGCTGAAATAAAAAAAATGTTTAAATTCATCATAAAGGCATATAATTTAATGTCATTTTATAAAACCTACAGGTAACACATACTTTAAAACGTAATTCTTATAACAATAAGAATACAAAACGATCTTAATATGGATTATATAAATAATCTAAAGTCATGTTATATTTATTATACAAGAATTACATTGAAATCAAAGGTGCTTTTTGCTTGATACGATAAAGATACTATTCAAATTAAATATAATGCCACAAAAGCCAGCTAAAAGATGAAAACCGTAGCAAATTGCGCTTTAAGCGTACTTTTATATGAATTTCGTGGACCGTAATTCAAAAGATCGTAATGACGAGAAGCAATTTACATTAAGGATATAAAAGCTAAACGTAGCAGCACTTTACTGCCTTCCGTCGCTTAGTTCTGTTTCCTGCTGCTCCGGTTTCAAGGAGACGTGTATCGGGTTCATATTAATCTCGTTGACTACTTTATAGTTTGTTTGACATTTATTTGACTGAGAATCTTAAAGAATATAAGCTCTAAAGTGCTGTTTCGAACGCCTGAAGAACGTTTAACGTTCCTTTTACTATACAATAAACGTGAACTATAAAGTAGGATATTAATAACAGAACTTCAATTATTATAGTATTCCCATGTGAGTCAGATAATACGTCCATTATATTATCTAGCCTATGTCGCTCTCTGATAACTAATGAATTAAAATTTTGATCATTTGATCGCTAAACAATAAAACCGCGCTATATTCATCAACACCAAACGTTAATCAAAGCTTCTACAGTACATTAATGATTCTATCAGATCTACTAAAATGAAAATACACCAACCATTGGTTACAATTTGTGATTGGCTCGACACAATATTAACATTTTGATATCAGGATAGATCTGAATATATCATAATTAGAACCAATTTATATGTAATTGATTCCCAAGATAGGTACTCGTGATATTATGTACCTACATATATAATTCTAGTTCAATTTAGAAGTTTTAGTCTTTAATATTCTCAATCTTTTTTTGAATAATGTATATTGAGAGCGTTTTTTACTTACGAAAATAAATAAGCAAGATGAGATTTTAAAAACGCCGTTTGAACTCAGAGTGTATTTTCTTGAAATTTTCTACATTTATAAAGTCGAAATAAAGGCAAAACGACTAAAAATATATACAGGGTTTACCTTCTTTAATGGATTCCGGCATAGGACTGTCGCCGTGATTGAGCCAGCCGTGCGCCAGAACTTTCACCTTGTTATCAAAGTTGAAGTTAGATTCCCTGAGAGTGGTTGACTCGTTAGTTTTGAGAAGTTGATATTCATAGGGATTCCGTCTGCAATTTTAAATTTATCGTTGTAAATAAGCACTAGTTTCGAGTTTATTTGAAACTGTTATTTTCAGCCACAGGACACAAATAACAACCTAAGTTTTCTTTAATAATATTTTACAACTTCTTCCTGCTCATTTGAATCTCATTCTTATCTTTATTTCCTATTATGAATGATCACAATTTTACACAATACTTCTTTGATAACGTCGCGTCGATTTAAAAAGTCTATCGATATTATTAATTATAGTTCAGGATCATAACTAAATTCAAATACATACACAATTAAAACTTTAACGGAGATAGAAACTGTGGTTTTACACTTTACAAGCTTCCTAAAGGTAAATAATAGATAGTTAAATATTTGTAGTATACTTAGATATAGATAACTACTTCAAAATAAAAAGTTACAAAGATATTGTATATATTATCGAACAAAATGTAATGTAACAAGAAATTAAGTTTTAAAATTTATTTCACATTCCACAAGAAACACTAAACATGAATATGTACCTACTTGGAAAGTAATAAATTATTCAAACAATTGACTTGAGAATATTAAGTAAACGGTTACTTTAAAAGTCAAACTCCGTTTATAAGAATATTTCGTACCTTGTGAAGAGTTTGAATTGTATGTCTTCTTCCTTAACCCACGCCCACAATCTCGTCTCATTGACAGGGGGTACCGGCGTGTATGTTTGCAGGCTAGCCAGCCACACTGGATCGTATGGGACCGGGGAGTTCCATTTTACTGCCGTTACTACTAAAAAGAGAAGTGAAATTATAATAATAATAATAATAATAATAAGTATTCTTTATTGTACATGTCGGAGTAGCGTGCTTCGGATTGTCATCGGGATCCATTTTCTTTATAGATTGCTTTAGAAATAATACCACAGACTTCACAGTAACAGATTTATATTCAAACTTCGAGAGTTTCAGCTTACAATGTTATCTCACTTGGTGCAACTAATAGAATGAATGCTCGCTGACAATGTTCGCCCTTTTAAAGACTGTATTTAATAATTTTAGAAGAGGGTAGCACAAAGTGTTACAAACTCATTTAAAGTTAAACAAATAACAATATACAATTTTATAAATATAATTCGGTATCCACAGCCGCGCCCATACGGCCATTCTGATCCAGCGCGCTCCCCGCGCTGTTCCTACGGTACCTGTGAACAAACTAATTAAATGGCTCACCCACTACGGGGGTCTTGCCAACACACGGCTCACCCATTACGGGTTCTTGCCAACACACGGCTCACCCATTACGGGTTCTTGCCAACACACGGCTCACCCATTACGGGTTCTTGCCAACACACGGCTCACCCATTACGGGTTCTTGCCCAGTCACGGCTCACCCATTACGGGTTCTTGCCCAGTCCTGGCTCATCCACTACGGGGGTCTTGCCAACTCACGGCTCACCCATTACGGGTTCTTGCCCAGTCACGGCTCACCCATTACGGGTTCTTGCCCAGTCACGGCTCACCCATTACGGGTTCTTGCCCAGTCCTGGCTCATCCACTACGGGGGTCTTGCCAACTCACGGCTCACCCATTACGGGTTCTTGCCCAGTCACGGCTCACCCATTACGGGTTCTTGCCCAGTCACGGCTCACCCATTACGGGTTCTTGCCCAGTCACGGCTCACCCATTACGGGTTCTTGCCCAGTCACGGCTCACCCATTACGGGTTCTTGCCCAGTCACGGCTCACCCATTACGGGTTCTTGCCCAGTCACGGCTCACCCATAACGGGTTCTTGCCCAGTCACGGCTCACCCATTACGGGGTCTTGCCAACACACAACTCACGGCTCACCCATTACGGGGTCTTGCCCACACACAACTCACGGCTCACCCATCATGGGGTCTTGCCCATACGGCTCACTCATCATGGGGTCTTGCCCTTATACAAGGTAAACAAGTATACTCTTCACATAATTTCGTTTTGAACAAACAAGTATAGTACAAGTAATCTTTCAATAATTGTTCTTTCCAATTAATACTAAAACAAGAAAATATGTCACATACAAAGCAGCTTATCACTTATAATTAAAACATATGCTCATCGTCTATACAAGGTAAACAAGGATACTCTTCACATAATTTCGTTTTGAACAAACAAGTACAGTACAAGTAATCTTTCAATAATTGTTCTTTCCAATTAATACTAAAACAAGAAAATATGTCACATACACAGTAGTTTATCACTTATAATTAAAACATATGCTCATCGTCTTTATAATCTAATCATCATTTAAAAAAGTCATGGCTAGCGATCTTTTCACTACATCCTTTAAGGTTGAGGCGTTTCAATTTATAACGATCGTTAAGTAAAATTTCTAGAATCTCCATAGGACCTTCAAATTTAGAACCAAGTTTTGTAGTGTTTCTTTCATAACGACTCATGAGAACAAAATCCCCGACTTTAAATGGATTATTTTTTGCTTTACTTTTATCGAACCTTAGTTTGTCCTGATGAGATCGCTCGGCCATCCTTTTTTTTTTATAAAGAAGCTTTACACAATTTAAATTTTCTATAGGTTCATCATCATCAACTTGTAATAGTTTAATAAGCGGTGGCGAGCACTTTTTACTATGTAATTAATATTTCTAAGGGGCTTTTACCGGTACTTTTGATATTGTGGAATTTATTGCCAATTGTAGCTCTTGTATCGCACTAAGCCACGGCTTATTAAGTTCAATTACTGACAAATTATAATCTTTAATGACCTTCACAATTAGTTCTAACTGTCCATCAGCCCTACTGGCGCCTCTGGCGCTATGATGTTCTATACCGTTCTCATTACAAAATAGTTTAAAATACGCGGAGGTCATGCTGTTGTCTTGGTCGGATATGGGACGACTAGGGTATCGTTACGTAAACTTTTTATCGCGGTTTCTGTCGTGCGGTCATTTGTATATACGAGATTGGCATATTTAGTGAAACTGTCATTAAACACAAACGCATACTCAGCCTGATTACGTTTACCGTTCATACGACCTGTAATGTCGACGTGTATTGTATGAAAAGGGATGCTGATTTTATTGATCGGATGTAATCTTATTTGCTTAGCGCCTGATATTCCTTTTCTAACACGACAACTAACGCAATTTTCTACGAATTTCCTAACCAACTTTGACATATCGGGGAACCAATATTGTTCTCTGATTTTAGCTAAAACTTTTACCAGGCAAAATGTTGTAAAGAATCATGATAATGGGAAATAAGACCAACCATGATAACGGGGTACTATAATAATCAGTTTCAATGTTTTATTGTCTATTTGAATTTTTACGCCTTAACAATTTATCTTTTAAAATAACATATGTATCCGCTAATGTTTGGGGAATTGAATCCGATTTTAATTTGACAAAAATATTGTTTTAAGAAAGGGTTACGCTTTTGTTCTATGAGAAGCCAATTATGATCAATAATTGAAATATTTATAGATAAATTAAATGGTAGAAAATCACCGTTTTTATCTGATACAAAAAAACGCTTACGCTAGTTTTAAGGAAAGAGAATTTGGAAATATCTATTGAAAAACCCGCATCGGACAATCTGTGTAATACTAAGTTTAAATTTAAGTATAACCTCTTCAATACCCCGTGACGTAATCGTGACGTCCTCAACCTAAGCGAGGGTTATTTTATCTTTATAGTCACCTAAAGGTTTATATGATATGTCACGCTGGTATACCGCGGGTACATTACACAATCCAAAAGTCATACGTTAATACTCAAATTGTCCATCTGGGATAACAAATGCGATTTTCTTAATAAAGTGTTCTCTGATTACAATTCCGTGAAAACCGGCCGCCATATTTGAACACGTAAAGAATCGCTCCTTACCTCATTTATCAATTTGGTTCGCGATTAATGGTAGTGAATAATTATCCCTTACAGACGCGACGGTCAGACCCGTTTTTATTCTTAACTAAAAGGATCGGGTTACTAAACGGGGTAGAACTATCTCGAATAATACCTATTATTATTATTAGCTTTTAGGTCATTTATAATATTTTTAACAATTTCACGTTCTAATGATGACATTCGATACGGTCTACGTTGAACTATTTTATCTGGATTTTTCAGTTTGATGCTTAATTCGCCCGTTTTAACTACCGACTCTAAAACTGTGTTTAAAGGTATCAAGAGTTCTTTTTAATTTCGATAATAATATTGGATCTTGAATATCAGTATTTTTATTAAAGTCATCAGAATTAGTAATGGTGACACTTTCATTTATAATAAAACTACGTTTTATCGATATACCCTCTTTACAAAAAGTAACGCTTAGACCTGGGGTTTTAATATCGTCGAAACGTTAAAATGTCAAGCTGAGATTGAGTATCGCCGACTGCATAAAATTCTATTTCAGTGCAAACGTCGTTCTACTGTTACTGGACACCCGCCTATACCCATAAATGACACACTAACGATTTTTCACTTGTTTCGAATAGATCCCGCGAGTTTATTTCTAATTAAAGAGCAGTATCGACCAAGGCGCAATAAGTCCGACCACCTATCTTTATATCAGTTATACTACGATCCCTTGAAATACACAAACCAATACTTAGATTATTTGACTTCGAACACTCACTTTGTTTAAAGAAGCAATTTTTATTTTTTCAACATGACCTCGCTCAAGACAGTAACTTCATTCAGAATATTTTATTATATTATTAGTGTTATTTACGGTATTTAAAGTCAATGGACCTCCGGATGTAACAGTTCTTTTATTTTCACAATCGCGAGCAAAAATGACCGGGTTCATTACAATTTATAACAATTACCATACGATTTACTAGCTAACTGTCGGCCATGTTCTTTTACATTGGTTACTATTGCTACTTTCGATATTATAATATTTACTCATTTTATAAGTTTATATATATTTTTTAAACAGACACTAAGACAGGTAAAGAACTGGATATAGTCCTTAATAATTCACTTCTAATTTAGTCACGATAAATACCTGTTAACAAAGCGTCAATAATTTCTCAATCACTCACTTCCGGCCTGACGCGCCCGAACAGCGTCCAGCCCGTCGTTGCGCGATCGGAGCAACCGTCCGCCCGCTCAGACGTGTAGCCGCGCCACCTCTGGACGTCGTCAGCGTAGCGAACTTCCTTCCCAAAGGCTCGAATGGGGTCCTCCTTCACTTGCTGCCACGACGCCGACTGCAGTGACCACGCGTCAGCCCAGGTCTCAGCCCTTCCTTCCAGGTGCAGCACAGCTCCCACTCTTGCCTCCCGCTGCGACATACCGCAGGCAGTAATCACCTCATCCACGCCCGCGTACCAGTCTTGAATGTCGTGTGAGCGGACGTCCGGGTCGAAGGGTGGTAGATAGAAATTGCCTCTTAACGTTCCTGAAGATAAGCCGGCTCCTAAAGCAGTAGTCACGGCGCCCGAAGCTGCTTGCTTGCCCATTGTAGAAACTAGACTCATAACCTCTTGTATTGTTAAAGTCTGGTCGTTTTGACTCCGGTTCCGTGAGCCTCCCAAAATTGGCGAATGGGATCCCACCGCTGCTGTCGGAGTAGCGTGCTTCGGATTGTCATCGGGATCCATTTTCTTTATAGATTGCTTTAGAAATAATACCACAGACTTCACAGTAACAGATTTATATTCAAACTTCGAGAGTTTCAGCTTACAATGTTATCTCACTTGGTGCAACTAATAGAATGAATGCTCGCTGACAATGTTCGCCCTTTTAAAGACTGTATTTAATAATTTTAGAAGAGGGTAGCACAAAGTGTTACAAACTCATTTAAAGTTAAACAAATAACAATATACAATTTTATAAATATAATTCGGTATCCACAGCCGCGCCCATATACACCAAAGAATAAATAAATTATACAGTACAAAACTTGATCAAAATGTACAATTGGCGGCCTTATCGCTAAGCAGCGATCTCTGCCAGGCAACCATGTTACGTAGGACACAGTAAACAGAATTAAACATTTGAGGTGTACATATATGAGAGAAAAATATACTTATACGAAATTATACACATATATATATATATATATGTATATATATATACATATATATATATATATATATATATATATATATATATATATATATACATATAGTAAACATATATATACTACATAATAATAAATTTTAAATATAAGCCAGATACATCGCAGAGTAGGAGTTTAGAATAAATAGAAAAATAAAAATCATAAATATTAAGGAAACAGGTAAAATAACTAATTCTAATAGAATAAAAACAGGTTTTTTCTATCAATTACCACAGAGTGGCGTGCACAGAGATTTGGGTTAGGGTAAGCAGAATATGTTTGAAAAATACCAATACCAATTTTTTATAATTTCCTCCTCTAATACATTGATAATAATGATATCTCTCGCAAGTATTGATTTAAATTTTAAATAAAACTAATATTTTTTTTATTTTTAACGGGTAGACGAGATGTCTACCGCGATGAAGGTTGCTGCAAAGTTATCGAAACATCGGGAGTATGTAGTTTTTAAACATAATAAAATACACGAAGTAATCAGAAAATATTACAGCAGTCAAGTAATCAGAAAATATTACAATCTGTTCATCACAGATTTAAAAGTTATTTAAATACGAATGTCCAGTGGAGATTCAAACATTCTTAATACTATTATCATTTGAAAAGGACAAACAAGGCAAACAAAATAACTTATTTGTGTGTACACAACCTGCTCACTGATTAAAACTATCATAATACTTTTTATTAAAACGAATAACATTACCTTTCTTTTAGTTCTATCTCAACTGGTCACACACCTTGACTTTACACTTATTTTAATTTTATTATCACACAACAATATTGAAAATCTACTCGTAATCAATTTCGATAAACACACATCACCAGCACAGAACTCACAGGTATAAGTTTCCATAATTCGTTA